GCCACAATTGACTTTTTCCCTAACACAGTCGATTTTTAGGCCTTTGAGCAATTGACTGAGCAAACTTCCTCTGCAAGGCTTGAAACTTGACATGGATGATCTTGAGAACATATTAGGAAAATGGTGAGAATTTTGGATCCTTTAGACTCAAACATCTTGATGCAAACTGAAACCCTAGTTTGAGGTAGACTGTCTTAGGAGAGAGCTTGTCTGGTCAACTTTTGGACTTCCTTGAGCAAATTGAAGACCTCACTTGAAATGTATTGAGAAATATGGGAGAGCAAATTTTGGGGTACAACACCCTCCTTAACTTATCATGAGCCAAATGATAATCAAACATATATGTAGTTGTTCCCTCACTACTACTAGTATCCATAGTAGGAAACTCCACCTAAAACTGAGTTTTCTCGGTTATAGTTTTTATCGGGTTTCTCCCTTGATTTTTACTATTCTCCCTCTGAAGAAATTCTCTATCAACCAAGTAATTTGTTTTAACCTCATCTCTTCCCTAAAAACTCAATAACAACTCAACAGTAACATGCATTTTTATTCCTTGATTTCTGCAAAATTCATTATAGTCATCTGGAACTTTCTCAAGGCATTCATAACGCCTTAAACTCAAATCCCATAGTTCTTACTTGTCATGAAATCCTCCACTAGTTAACGATGAATGAATAAATACATTTGAACTTCTAAAATATATGGACAACATTTTTTAGACCCTTTGGCAATTATCAATTCATGACGTGAAATCTTCAAAACTCCATGTTCAACTCTAGTACAACAGCCTAAATCATCAAACATACTTATAGATAAAAAATTTCGCTTGAGTTCTGAAACATACCTCACATTATGAATAATAAGTTCATGATCATCAAATATTTTAATTCTGACCACACCAATACCATGAACCTTGCAAGTCTTATTATCACCAAGGCGAACAACTCCACCTTGAACCATCTTCAAAGTTTCAAAGTATTCTATTCTTGGACACATGTGAGAAGAGCAACCTGACTCAATGATTCCAACTATCTTCAGTTTCCAAACTCGATATTACTAGTATATCAACATCCTCAAAACTTTCCTCTCCCGAGGCAACTGCAGCTTGAGCATAATTTTCATTGACCTTTCTCTTAGGACAACCCCTTTTAAAGTGACCAATTTTCTAACAATTAAAAAATTTTACCTTTGACTTATATGACCTATTTGATTTGGATATCCCTTTATGCTCACCTCCTCCTCTTGACACATTTAAGCCTTCACCACTATCTTCAATTTTCAAATCTTTCGACTTTGAAAATTCATTGGATTTCACCGCCGTTTGGACTTCATCCAAAGTAATATTACATTCCTTACTATAAAGAAAGGCATGCTTAAAGTGCTCAAAGGATCTTGGTAATGAAATCAACATAAGAAAAGCCTTGTCCTCATCATCAATCTTTACTTAAATATTCTCAAGATCATGAATAATCTTGTAAAATTTTATAAGTTGCTCAACTATGGATTTATGCTCCACCATTCGGAATGAATAAAATTATTGTTTTTTACACAACCTATGAGCCAAAGACTTTTTCATATACAACGATTAAAGTTTTTCCCACATAGAAACCAAATTTTTATCCCCGAATACTTCTCTTAGAACTTTATCACTGAAGCACAAGATAATGGCACTCCTGACCTTCTATCATCTCGATCTTATGTACCTGTGTAAGCCCTGCATGTATCAATGCTTCACCCTTCAAAGCATCGATACACTTCTCTTAAATTAAAATTTCTTGCATCTTATTTTACACAACCCGAAGTAATTATTACTGAAAAATTTATATATCTCCCATCTAACCATGGTGCTCACTTGTAAAGAATACCTCTTTACTCCACGCTCACCGAACCACTTGTTGTGAATCTAAATTCAATATCAATTTGTGAGGCAAAGAATAGTAGAAACCAAAAATAAATAATCTACAACAATAATAACTCGTACACAAAAAATATGACATAAATAGGCGAGAAAAAGATGAAGGTTTGTTTACCCAGTTCGATCAAAGATCTACTCTAGAAGAGAGAGCAACTCTCCAATTCACTATACTCAGAAAGTTGTTACAAGAGATTATAGATGAGTTACAAGAAAATAGCCTTTTCCTTCAGGTTCTCAAAAACAACCCTGAAGGCTCCCAAGAATTACCCTATTTTCTAACCAAGTGTTTCCCAACCTCTTCAACCTTCCATATATGAATAACGGAGACCCAAGGTATAAACAATTGTTTCCAAATTCCCAATAACCTTAGATAATTCCAAAGGTTTCCAAAACCCTTACTTTTCTAAGGTTTCCTTTGAGAATAGCTAAAACCCTATACTATGTCTTTAAACCCTTGCTCTCCATTGTTGTTGTAAGTTCTAAGATTATCACACTATACAAACAAAAGAGATACATATTTATAATAGGCAAAATCCAACAAATCCATAACAAATCCCAAAACATACGTCCTTAATTGTTAGAGTAAAAAATATTATTACAATCTTATAATATCTCTCAAATATTATAAATATCTTATAATATCTTAAATATATACTAAATAAATATATTATAATATCTTTTAAAATATTATATATATATATATATATATATATATATATATATATATATATATATATATATATATATATATATATATATATATATATATATATATATATATATATATATATATATATATATATATATATATATATATATATATATATATATATATATATATATATATATATATATATATATATCTTATAATATCTTTTAGAATATCATAAATACCTTATAATATATTTTTATATTAATTTATATGGTCTCCAAATTAATATAAAATATTCTAACATTAATGAATGGATCAATGAACCGAACCGACAGAATACGATCCCCTTAAATCGCTCATACCAGATTACTTTTCGGCTTTCTAATTTTTGACAATCTCGAAACATGTTTTATTTCTCTTCATCAACAATGGTTTTAATGCATATTACAACAATCTCTACCTTGACTTTAAACTGTGATTATACCAATTTAACCATAAACAACATTGATGCTCTCTACCTGGTCGAAACACTAATCAATATCCTTGATCAATTTTAAAGAACCCTTGAATCTTGAACTCGCCACTTGAATCCACTTGTTTCCAATTACCTTTTTCTGCCTAGGTTATTTAACAAGCCTACAAGTATAATTTTTCAATCACCCTTAACTCCACCTGTTTTCAAATGCCTCCCTGAAGGTTTTTCTTCTTTTATTTTGCAGTCCTTCAACCACATTAACAGCATAATATCCAAGGATAACATATTCTTCCCCAAGGCACAAGATAATGACACTCATGGCCTTATCCATCATCTCGGTCTTTTGTACCTGTGTAAGCCCTGCAAGCATCAATGCTTCACGCTTCAAAGCATCAATACACTTCTCTTGAATTAAAATTGCTTGCATCTTAAATTTACACAACCCAAAGTCGTTGTTACCAGAAAGTTTCTCTATCTCCCATCTAACCCTGATGCTCACTTGTAAAGAATACCTCTTTGCTCCACGCTCATCGCACCAATTGTTGTGAATCTTTTTGTGAATTACAAAAAAATTCAATATCAATTTTGGGAGGTAAAGAATAGTAGCAACCAAAATAAATGGTCTATAGCAATAATAATTCGTACATAGAAAATATAATAGAATAAGGCGAGAAAATGATGAAAGTTTGTTTACCCAGTTCGATCAAACGATCTACTCTGGGGAGAGAGCAGCTGTCCAATTCACTATACTCAGAAAATTGTTATAAGATATTACATATGAGTTACGAGAAAATAGCCTTTGCCTTCAGGTTTCCAAGAACAATCCTAGAGGCTCCCAAGAATTACCTTATTTTCTACCCAAGTGTTTCCCAACCTCTTAAACCTTCAATATATGAATAACTTAAACCTAATGTGTAAACAAGTGTTTACCAATTCCCAATAACCTTAGATAATTCCAATGGTTTCCTTTAAACCCTTGCTCTCCCTTATTACTGTAAGCTCTAAGATTGTCACATCATAATAACAGAAGAGATACATATTTATAATTGACAAAATACAACAAATCCCAAAACATATCTTCTTAATTGTTAGAATAAAAAATATTATTATAATCTTATAATATCTCTCAAATATTATAAATATCTTATAGTATCTTTTAGAATATTATAAATATATATCTATAATATCTTTTAGAATATTATCTTATAATATCTTTTTATATTGATTTATATGATCTCCAAATTAATATAAAATATTCTAATATTAATGAATAGATCAATGACCCGAATCGACCAAATTCGATTCCTATAAATCACTCGGACCAGATTATTTTTCGGTTTTTTAATTTTTGATAATCTCAAAACATGTTTTTTTTTTCTCTTTATCAACAAAAATTTTAAGAGATATTTCAACCATAACTATGTGCATAGAGCTGATTATTAATTAAAATAGATAATACTTTTTTATGTTAGTCCTCTTGTTTACGTAGAATGGGGCCTCATCAATAATCTCAAATTCTGATCAAATAGTAACAACAAATGTATTAAAACCTACCCAATATTTGAAAATAACAAATGAATTTGGTAATGAATAATGGTTCTTTCTTTCTTGGCAGTGAAGTTTTGGAACGTGCAAATTTTAAATAAAAATATTGCTACTTTGGTAATATGGAGCGCACCAAATAAGGCATGTATGCAATCCTTTTTTATCTTCTTTTGCTCTCAATAAAGTAAAGCATTAATAAGACACTCTCCTTTACGGTTTTGTAGGAAAAATCAAAACCTTTAATTTCATGACTAAGCTTAATCATTCTTTAATTCCATATCAATGAAGTTCAAAGAAATTACTAATATTAAATATAAAACAACAACGAGATAAGCATATTACAACATCATGATCATAGCTGGGAAACAGGCAAAGAAATAAACATTAATTAATTAAGAATATTCACTGGTTAATTAAAAATGATCAGCATAATCTTGTTCATGATCTTTTAGATTTGAAGAGACCTCAATGTTATTGTTACTTGAACTTGAACATGAAGATGAAGTAGAAGAACATGTCTTGTTGTTTACCATCATAAAATCAAACATTAATCTCGAATTAGGAGTAGCATTATTGTTCTTATTTTTAGTACTAGTGCTTCCATATTCCAAATTTCTTTTCCTTGTCGATAATCGACATAGAAGCCAATCTCCTATTTCGTTTCCATAATTCTGATAAACGAAAAAAAAGTTAATTAATTAAATAAATAAATATCATCACAATAGTCGAGTCGAACGAACGCTTAAAAAAAGCTAAAACAAACGGATCCAAATATTCACCTGGGTTGAATTGCAAGGACTAGTTTCTACATTGACGAGGCGATATTCATGCAAGATCCAATTAGTTCTAGAACCATTTGGAGATTTTCCTTGATAAAAAACTAGGGTTTTTCTTATCCCAACAATGCCATTACAACTTGAAGATGAAATTCTTTTGTCTGATCCTGTTGCCTTCCAATATCCACATTTTGTTGTTCTACTCATCCTATTACTATTCCTATATTTTGCTTCCTTGGAGCTGAAAAAGTGCCTCTCATGTTCATCACAACCTCCTATATAAATCAAAACAAAACAATGTTAATCACATAGTTCCGAGTTTATATAAATAATGACTGTCTTCTTCAAGTTACAAGTCAGTTTTTTAAGATTGAGTTATATATACTCGATATAAAAATTTAATATTATATCGGAGTCACTAACCTGGCAAATCCCAAGGATCATACTTGCAAACATTGACCTCAGGAATGATGGAAGCTGGCAAGGGGCATGAGAAGATTTTACATTTCAAATACTGAAAAACAAGTTCTTCATCGGTCGGTTGGAAACGAAAACCGGGAGGCAATCTACTCACTCCATTTTTAATAAAATTCAGCTTTTCCATTTGCTTAATTAAACACTGAAAATTGTATTCACTCTTCTCAAATTAAGTGAGGGTGAGGAGAAGCACATGAACGAATTAGGTTTGCATGGTATTTATAAATATGGGATGATAATGAGAGAGAAATGAAAGGTATAACTTTGTCTTTGTGGAAAGGAGACAATACTTAACATACTAAGTTTCATGTTTGACAAACAATTTTTTCTTTACTTATCATTAAAGGTCTTTTAGTTTGCCTTTTGTTATGGTTTTGCTTTATATGATAAAATGATAAAGGAGCCAGGTTTTCCCTCTCGAAACAATTATAAAGGCACATATTTTCATTGAAATGATAGCTTTAAAATTGTTATTTTTTTACTAAAACTTTAGTTATTAATGTATTGAATGGTTTGAGTTTCCATTAAGAAATATTTTATATGTTTTTTTAGCCAATGCCAAATCACTCATTAACAAGGATTTTGTGTTAGGTAGTGCTGATTCTTTGTGAGATAAAACTAGTCAGCAATCAAATAAACTTGCTCACGTTAATTCATTATACATACATCCAATCATGTTTATTGTTGGGGTCGGAGAAAATCTAGGGGAACAGTAAGATCAATGCTTTAAAATCACAAAAGAATGCCACATTTTTGTTCAAAATAATAAGATATTAGTTTTTTTTTATTACTAAAAACGACATACATTCATTCAAATTGATAGAATACATTGAATAATACAAATTCAAAATCACTATAAATTGAAAAGGATGAATCTGCGAACAAACTCACAACATCCATGTTAATAGTATATAACGGCAAAATGCCTAGAAATGTGAGAAAGCCTACAAATATGACGAACTTGAAATGCTCAGAATACCCATGTCTCCGAGTCTGTAGCTGTTTCCAGTGATTTCTGGTAAACAACCGCTAGTCTTCCAAACTATCGAATAATCTTTCTGACTGTTATTCAATTCCTCTGGTAACTCACAGGATCGACTAGATTGATCCTAGGACTCCTTGGATATTAAGGTTACTCTCACGATCGAACAGATATTCATGGTTGATATTGTATATGTGTTTGGCTTATTTCGATTTCTCTCTCTAAAAGTCTAAAGATATAATCAAAACGTGTGTGAAAACTAAGTTACATGAACAAATGCTAATTGTGATGCTAGTTGTAAAGACATGTAAAACTGCATAAAAGTGAAGTAAATGGTTTCGACTTACAAAACAGTTAATATAAAGGATTTCTGGAACGTAAAAGGTTTGAAATATGAAGAAAGCGTTTAATGCAAGAAATCTTTAAATGACTTTAAGTAAAAATATGCGTTCGAAGGATAAGACTTGAAGGTAAAGGTATGGAAAATATGACAGTTTTCTGAGATATGAAATGCTTGAAATATGAAGAAAACATTAAAATGTGAAACTTTGAAGAAGAGATTTCGAAGTGAAAAGACTGTAAATAAGAAAACTTGTAAAGGTTATTTGACAAAAAGGATAAAGGAAAGTACTGGAAATGGTAAAAGGTTTTCATTAAATCAGAAATACATGGTGCTATCATACATACATTTCTCTTGCATTCGTTTCCCTTGCCATGTGGTAGTTTGAATGTTACTGAGTATTTTGTATAATAGATATGACACACGAAATCCTAATACTAAGACTTCTATTTATACTAATTCGACCATAACGGTCTTGCTATAGGATTATGCCACGTTTAGAACATGCAGGACAATGCCTCTTTCATCTTTCCACGTGTCCCCAAATGCTCCAACGCATAACTTTCAAACTTCGAAAGTCCCGCTTCCATTTGAATTTCAAATGCTTTGGTGCTTCTCCGTTTCGAACGCTCTTCCCAGACACAGCCTTGTTGTTATTTCGAGACTTCTTTAGATATGTTCCCATAATTGCCACTCGAAGCTCCAAGCTTTGACACACTTATTCGAAACACTGCTTCTGCTACTTCGAAACATGACGCTTTACCTCATTTCGATCAAAACGTTTAATTCATTTAGCTTCTAATAACATTATCAAAATCTTCAGCCAACAAATTGCCCCTTTAAAATATGTATTTCGATTCCTCTGAGAAATACCTATTTTACACACCTACACAAGATTTTGATGGGACTTTCGAATCATCGTAACATTTAATGCATTTGACTCCAGTCACGTCAATCACAGCACCTTTTGGATTCCTTAACCGCCTGGAGCCACTTCACAGCGTGGTGCAGTTACAAATAATGATTATCTTTAAATCACGCCTATTACCCATGTTAATTTTACGCCACCTCTTCATCACACTAACCCATGATCTCCACGTATCACACCTTTATTCGGTGGATGCTTAAACTTCCCCATTATAAAACATCAACTTAATCCTCTTCTTTTCTTTTCACACTCTAAATCTTTCACACTCTAAATCTTTCACCCTCTAAATCTTTTACCCTCCTTCTCTCGTAAAATAATCCAAGCTTTCAACATCTTTCAAAAATGTCTTCTTCTACTTCATCCCAACTCAAGAAAGTCTCCAAGAAGAAAGGAAAAACTGCAGGAGCTACCATGGAAAGTAAAATCATCACCCTCCAAGGTCAATCCGCTCTTGCCCCTCAGATGATTTCAAAAGAAAAAGAAATGCTGTATGCGTCACAGGTACTCATTCCTACCAGCGTTGCTGGTAAGAGGTTAGCTTTAAATGGCCCTCTTACGGTTTTTGAAATATTAAAAGACACCAGGACGATTTTCCCAGTTTGTTATAGCTTCAAACCCTTATTTAACAAAATGTACGCCCCTAAGGCAGTAGGATCTCCTAGTTCAAATACCATAGAAACCCCAACTGTTCCTCCTAAGGACCCCTTTGTTTTGGATTATGTAAAAAGTAATTTTAAGCCATTTCGATCTTGCCCCACCTCTGATATTGCTTATCAAAATTGGTTCACGAAAGTAGAAGCTAAGAAATCCCAGCAATGGGAAGAATTAGGCATCTATAACCTGATTAAGCTATCGAAGCCTGGTTTCACCTACAGCCACCCTCTGCTATTCGCGTCCCTTTATTTCTGGGACAGTACCTATAACACTTTCCATCTCCCAGGTGGAATGATCACCCCAACCTTCTTCGACATAGCGGCCATCACTGGGCTATCGCCGGTGGGAGAAACTTATATACCCGACAACGAAGAGCACTCAAGCATAATTGACTTCGAAGTCAAGCTAGCCAGTTTTTCCAAATTTATCAGTCATTACCATGCTGAGGGGGACAATGTGTCTGACGTAGAGAACATTGCTTTCTTAACCCTGTGGCTGTCAAGATACGTTTTCTGCAGTAGATCCCTACAGGTAGCTAGTAGGTTCATTCCTCTAGCTAGGGACTTGCATGAAAATCGAAAAGTGTGCCTAAGTGAACTGCTCTTAGTTGACCTCTATGAAAGCCTGAGGTCAGCTGTTTCGAGCCTCAAATCCCATACCTCCAAAAATATTCTATTGGCTGGCCCCTTTTGGTTACTCCAACTATGGCTAAATGCCATGTTCGAACCCTCCTTATCAACCACCAACACCATTGATGAGCAAGATTCTGAGATAAGTGATAGGATAGTCGAAGGCACTAGGCTTCGAAGATTAACTCCCAATGACGACAAAGATGACTTCAAAGTTCAATTCTCGAAGTACATCATGATATTCTCCAAAAGGCACAAGTTCGAAGAGAGCATGGCGCCTTTTGCTTCGAGGGCTCATGGACCTTCTTGGTTCACCATGGCTCTCTCAGAAGCTATCAAGAGCAAGGAGATTCAGGATGTATGGAGAGCTTTTTTGCTGCCTAGACTCATTTCTTCAAGAATAACCCCAGCCAAGAACCAAATTTTTCTCTTTGCCTACCAACCAAACTTCGTTTCGAGGCAGTTTGGCTTATGCCAACTGATTCCTGAACCTTTGTTTCAAACTGAGAGTGCCATCACTTCTGGACGAACTTTCAAGGCACGGGAAGCCAAAATACAGCAAGAATAATATCAAGGCTTTGCCCAATTTGAGCTGATAACCTTCGAACCTACCCATCTCACGGCTAAAGGATTTCTGGAATGGTGGATCAAGTTTTATCAAACTTATATGTTCGATACACTTACAATTCGACAGAAACTAATTGATGCCTTCGATGTGCAGGTACCAACAAAGAAAGGTATGTTTACTCATGCCAAAGAGATTAAAGCTTTCCAAAATTATTTTGAAACTACTTACGACCCCACGCGCTTGGACTCCACTGTGCATCAAGCAGCTGAGACCTTGAAGGAAAAATTTAAACAAAAAGTTTCTAAGTTAAAACTTCCTTCAGGGCTGTCACCTGAGGATAGGTATAGGTTGGCATTCGAAATGCATCCACCTAAATTTCCCAGATTACCTACCTCAGAACTGGCTCTGGCTTGGTTTCTCCCATATCCATGGTGGTTTACTTGCAAAGAGATGTTCAAATATCTTCAAAGGAAACCAAAGCCATCTGAGACTGTGACATGGGCTCGATACTGGCTTCATGATTTCCCAGGACACATTCGATACGACCTTTCTGCCATGTCAATTAAATCTAATCAAGGCACAGGTGCGAATGCTTGGGAAAATCCCAAATGTCTTTTATTTTCCATATCTTTAACCTTTGCTTTAATTGTTTCGATTTTCAGCTATCAGGATAAAGACAGCTGCCTCGAAGTCGAAAGAAGGGAGTGCCTCTCAAGCCTCCATCGAAACTACTGACAAAGTGACTCCACCCGAAACAACCACTACTGCTGCAACCATAACAACAACAATAATACCAACAACAACCAGTGTTCCAATTCCAACGGTAATCACTTAGCCTTTATGTTTCGAATTCACTCCTGCTTTATGGTTTACATCTAACTCTTCGTTTAAAATTCTTTCAGACCAACAAGCTTCCTCCTACTACTCCCAAGAAGCGGAAATCAAGCACCACTGGGGAAGACCCCAAGGCTGGAGGAAACTTAAATACTGCTTCGAAGAAGAAGCCAAAGAAAGATATTTCAAAAA